ACACTGAGTGTGCACTTCCTTTTAGTCCGGCCGGGTACAGGAGACAGATGCTCCCTGTACCCGCGGACCAATAGAGGGCTCGGCCACGCTACAGTGAGGGAGTGACAGGAGGGAGTGCTGAGTGCTGAGCGCTTCCCTCCTCTCAGCCCCTCTCCTCAGGCTGCGCCTGGGTGGTCCGCCCTCATGGACGCACCGCAGGGCAAAGCTGCAGCCGCCTGAGGCTCTCTACAGAGCTGCTGGCACCCGGGGCGGACCGCCCCCTCCGCCCCCCCCTTAGTACGCCACTGGTTTGATCTAATTAAAATTGTTGTATTGCATTTTTTCTCTACAAATGACTTGTACGCTGAACTCTATTAATCCTACAGATACAGAACATTGTGCTTACTGTCTTTTATTCTGCTGAATGTTTAAATAGAAAGCAGTGGGTCTAGGGGGAGGTTGCTGACTCATGGTTACAATGAATCATCCAGCATCACGCAGATTAAATGATGGGGGCTACATATAACTAATATGCAATTTCAAACAGTGAATATGATATTTTTGGTCATATTCTACCTTTTTGTTTTTGTAGTTTACATAAAATCTTCTCAATTAACTTTGTAAATGAGAACAAAATGGTGGACAATCACGGATTCTAGTCTCATAATTGTGACTTTTTACAGTGTAGCTTACGCCAAATACAGAATGGCGTACAGTTGGGACTATTTTACTAGTATAATCTAGTCTGCCTAGTCTGAAGAAATAAATAGAACTAACAAGTAGATTGTTTTTAATTTATTTTATTTTGTTGCAAATGGTGCACAGGTATTTAAAAAAAACAAAAAACATAAACACAGACACTGAATGAGTTGCAATTGCCCCTCACTTTAAGTGATGAGATGGTTAAGCCAGAAATGGGTGGTGACAAGTGGCAATTCTGTCGAGAAAATGGGTGAGCAATCAAAAAAGGGAGCATGTGAACTGACTGACAAAATACTCTAGGTGGTCCAACTCAAGGCAGCCCATGTGCAGAGCCCTGTTGGAGTGTCCTGACATGGCTCAGTGCCCATGTAGCAATCTGCCCAGCACCAGGGAAACATCACTAATCTGTGCTGTGTGAATTCGTCATCCGTCCCGTTTGGTAAGTGGAGACATTGGTCTGGTATCCCCAAATGTGGGATACCAGGGAGCAAACCTGGTATGGTGGGACTGAAGGCAGCAATTAGGATAGTCCCACTGGAAACTGGACATTTTGGCGACATACACAGGACTCTTGTTTGCAGCAAAGTACCCAGAATACTGTAGGACTTCAATGCCTTTGATTAGCTGAGTGATAAAGAGATGTACATGCAAGCAATATGGCCTATAAACAGCACTGAAAAACATTATGAGGCATTATACCACAAAATACTTGGTTTTTTTTTACCCTAAAATTGTTACTTATAAAGTATGGACAAGCGATTGGCAGGAAGTTCTGCTTTCTTATCTCTTGTAACATTTCTTCTTTCCCCATTAAAGTAGTTTTATATTTTTAATAAATATAGTGTAGGTTTCCTCAGACCTACTGCTTTTGTTTTCATACAGTGTTTGGAGAAAGTGCTTGTGTTATTTTATGTATTTTTAAGTTTTGTCCTTGTCCATACCCCTGGTCACAGCCCTAAAATTAAAGTGTCTCTTTTGTCTATTTAAATGTTGGGAGGTATGTATTCTGCTTGGAAAACAGAAGATAAAGCCACTGAGAACATATTACTGTTTGTTGGTTAAAACCTCTATTCTTTATTCATGAAAAATTTAAAGTTTCCACTCAAAGCAGTACAACCAACGATGCCACCATGTTGCTGCCAATTAATCCATAAGTCTACACGTTTTGTGCAGCACTTTCTCAAGACCCCCACTGATCAAGTATACAGCTCTGCACTGATATATCTACCTAGATTTACACAGCCACAGGTAAATACGAATAACCCCTTCAGATATCAATTCAAAGGAATCAATCCCAAAATCTGGAACCAGGGCCAGATACCTGGTTTTGCACCGTACCTTATTGTATTCTATACAAACGGCCTTCTTGGAGAAAGTTCTATAATATTCCTTAAACTTCATCTGGATGTCAAGGGATCTGACTGATGATGTAAAAAGGGAATACATTCGCATGTAACTTTGTTGAATGGAAAGCATAATAGATGAATAGACTGTAACTAAAGTACAATGCTTTAATATACCATTTATCAGTCTGATACAATACATTCCTAAACTGATTCCCTAGCTTTGCGATGTTAAATCCTTTCTTGAGTTTGCTGCAGTTACACCTGCAAGGTCACAACTAATATATTAATTAGTCTCGAGAGGGAGACCCAACACTCATTAGTTTTCAATTGCTTTGCAATTAGACTTAGACTAGTGTGTAACAAAACCTGCCATTAATGCCTCATGGCTTAGTTTCCATTTCGTAGGAAAAATGGATTTTTGACTGTTGAATTTAATCCTCTCATTGCTGGAAAAGCCAACGGCCTAGTCTGAAATGACAGTGGAAGGATACAGTACAATTAGATGGGTCACTGTCTAAAGATGTCTGTTATTCAATGATGATGATGATATATACAAATAGAAATTGTCTGTATAACACCCAGCACTAGGTTGGAATTTGCTGCAGGTATACTTTATTCAATTTGTTGCATTTTAATGAGACAGTCACAAGTCTGAGAAAGTAGTGGATGCATGGAATAGCCTTCCAGCTGAAGTGGTAGATATTAAAACAGTGAAGGAGTTCATGCATGCATGGGATAGGCATAAGGCTATCCTAACTATAAGATAAGGCCAGGGATTAATGAAAGTATTTAGAAAATTGGACAGACTAGATGGGCCGAAAGGTTCTTATCTACCTTCACATGCTTTACTGCTGTAAACAAGTAAATATTAAAGCAAAAAAGAGATTTAAAGGGACACGGTTAGAAAAATAACCACTATAGCACAGGGTTATGCAATCAAACAGAATATGGTGAGAGCACACTAAAAGGCATAAATATTACCACACATGCAAATTTGATAATCCTGTAAATGAAAACACACAGGAAAAAAACAATAACATTTCGAAAAAGTAAAACATTAATTAAAATCAGTTTCACTCACATGCTGCTGAGCCACTTAAAATAAGTGGGCTCAGACTAAAGGTGTTGAATGGATAAATGTTGATGGTCTCAGGTTAAGATACCAATAGCTTGCTTGTGGTTCTTATAGTACTCCCATAGAGAATCCAGGATGACGGATATCAGGAATAAAATATTTATTTGAACATAAAAATAAAAACAGATGATAAAAAAACTAAATAGAAGAGTCCACGACAGCAACAAAAAATACCTGACGCGTTTCGGCATTAGCCTTTTTTTTTTTAAAAGATTACACTTTTGAGAAAGGTTAATGCCGAAACTCGTCAAGTGTATTTATTTTAGTGTGCTCTCACCATATTCTGTTTGATTGTATTGCACTTTTGTGTCGTGGAGTGACCCACATAGGTACTTGTCACACCTTGTTGTACTGGTTTAAACCAATCCTTTTACACTATCCATTTTATTATTATAGCTCAGGGTATCTGAGTACTGCTAAGTAGAGTTGAGCGAACCCGAACTGAAAAGTTCGGGTTCGTACCAAACATTAAGTTTTTAGGACCGCGGACCCGAACACGGACATATCGGTGTATTAAATTACGTGTTTTGAAAGGCCGCAGGGCAGCCAATCAACAAGCGTTTGACTCGTGTGCCCTAAATAACAATAAGGGGGGGAACCTACTGTCCTCCCCCCTGGCCCCCACCCCTGAGCTGTAGATGGGGGCCATACATAAAAATGGGGGGACCTAATGTCCTCCCCCCAGGCCCCACCCCTGAACGGTGGGTGGGGGACATAAATAAGAATTTGGGGGGGACCTACTGTCCTCCCCCCCAAGCTCCTTCCCCTGTGGGGGCCCTAAATAACAATGAGGGGGGACCTACTGTCCTCCCCCCAGCCCCCACCCCTGAGCAGTGGGTGGGGGCTATAAATAAAAATTGGGGGGACCTAATGTCCTACCCTCCGCCCCCACCACTGAGCGGTGGGTGGGGGCCCGAAATAAAAATTTACCCCCCAGGTGACTAGGGGTCCCCAAACGCCTAGTCAACCCCCTCCCCCCAAAAAATTACCCCTATGTACCTCCCTCATCCTAAAAATAATGAGGGGGGAACCTTATCTAAATACCTGTTAAAAAAATAGACTTACCATTTGATGTCTTCTTTCTTCTAAACTCTTTTTTTCAGCCCCAAAAAAGGCCAAATAAAAATCCATAATAACCAACGCACTTTAAAAAAAAAAAAACGAGTGCAAAAAAAAAAAATCAATTTTCACCCATGGAGGGCTCCGCGCAAACTGAGCTCTGCAGGGCGGGAGAAGGCTTATAAAGCCTTGGTCCGCCCTGCAATTAGGCTCAGAGCACTCTGATTGGTGGGTTTAAGCCATGCAATCAGAGTGCTCTAACAGGTAAATGAAGAGACTGACAGGTAAGTCTCTACATTTACCTGTCACAGCACTCTGATTGGTTAGCTTGAAATCCACCAATCAGAGTGCTCTGTGCCATTTTACACAGCGTGGGAAAGTTCTTTGGAATTTTCCCACGCTGTGTAATTTGACTCATAACACTCTGATTGGTTAGCTTGAAATTTAGCCAATCAGAGTGCTCTGTGTAATTTTACACAGCGTAGGAAAATGCCAAAGAACTTTCCCACGCTGTGTAAAATGACACAGAGCACTCTGATTGGTTAGCTTGAAATCCAGCCAATCAGAGTGCTCTGTTTCATTTTACGCAGCGTGGGAAAATGCCAAAGAACTTTCCCATGCTGTGTAAAATGACACAGAGCACTCTGATTGGTTACTTAATCCACCAATCAGAGTGCTCTGTGTCATTTTATACAGCGTGGGGAAATTCCAAATAACTTTCCCACGCTGTGTAAAATGACACAGAGCACTCTGATTGGTTAGCTTGAAATCCAGCCAATCAGAGTGCTCTGTGTCATTTTACACAGCGTGGGAAAATTTCAAAGAACTTTCCCACGCTGTGTAAAATGACAGAGTCACACACACACACAGTCACACACACACACACAGACAGTCAAACACACACACACAGTCAAACACACAGATAGTCAAACACACAGACAGTCACACACACAGACAGTCACACAGGCAGACAGACACACACACACACACACACACACAGAAAGACAGTTACACACACACACAGGCAGACAGACACACACACACACACAAACACAAACACACACACACACACACAGGCAGACAGTGACACACACAGACTGTCAAACACACAGGCAGTCACACACACACAGGCAGACAGCCACACACACAGGCAGACAGTCATGCACACAGGCAGACAATCACACATAGTTACCTCTGTTCCTTGTGGAGGCAGACAGACAGTGCAGCTCTTGTATTCTGGTTGTTGGGGGAAGCAGGGACTCCTTTCTGCTTCCCCTGTAGCAGTTATATAGCATTTTAGCCCCGCACGGTAAGCCCTGCTGCAATTTTTTTAAATTTTTTTTATCCCTGGCCGGCCATGGGTGAGCTGTGTCGGATGTCAGGTCGCCCCTGGTACATGGCGCCCTGTACGGCCGCACACCTTGCACACCCCTAAGGCCGGCCGTGTGTCCGCTCAACTCTACTGCTAAGCAGTATCAAAGTACATACACAGCCCATTTTATCAGACACTTAGATAATAATGTAGAACTAACACTTTGTTATTTTTACTCTCAGCTACTTCTAATCACTGTAGTACAGGTTGGATAAAATTGACATTGATACAAAAGTGTATACTTTATATTATCAATGTTGCTAATGAAAGGTATGTCAAAGGGTGTCCTGGTAGAGACTCCATTTTTTGACAAACCACTTAAAAATAGTTTGACATAACTGAGGAGAGAGTCCAGAAACTATGTAACATGTATGTATGTAGTGGGGAATCGTGATGCAGCATAGTAACATAAAACTATCCCAACTCACCACCCAAATAATGACAGACAATGTAGTGTGGATGAAACAGGCCACAGCATTTATTATAACATATGACAAATACTGAATAAAACAGCCATAATTTATTTGAATATTCTCCTTTCTTTGATATAACCAAAACGTCAAACATAAATAATCATAACTTAGCATATAACTTAACACATAGTGCCATATAGTATAACCCAAGCGTCCTTGCCAATATACTGACCATGAGCCTACGTACCACTTCCTCTCACCTCCCCCCTTGGCATAAATTCCCTTTCCTTCCAATGCTTACCACCAGCCACCTTTTCCTCGCTCGGTGGGCACGTCAAAAGAGGTAACCTAAGGTTAAACCTTTAGAGCATGTGAGGTTGAAACCTGAAACTTGATCACTTCATTCCACATATTAACCTAACCGCCTCAAACTTAATTGGCAAGGACATACCCCCGGCTAGCTGCGACTAAATAAACCCATGGGGCAGGCGGGAGGGAAGCTGTTTGCTGGCCTGAATCCTAAGTGGCACTGAGTTAAGACCACCCCCCCACCAAACTCACACAACACAGAATCCCACCCACACATTCATACACAACCAATCGCACGCATCCATCCCCACACTCATATATGTGCCCTTGTCCGCTTAGCTGCGCTATCTCAGCAGGGCCTTACCCACTGTGGAGCATGTGTTGTTTAGCATGCGTTATCAATATTTAAATAAATCTAAACTACTTTTTTTCAGTGTAGATATTTTGGCCTATATTTAATTTTTTTTTTGCATTTCTTATCTTTATTAACAATTTTGTTTTCCATATTTGGCCTTTATTTGGAAGTGCTAATAAGGGGTAACATCCCAAAAAATAAAAATGTGTAAGTTAATATCTAGTTCTAAGCAGAATACATGTATAAACAATTTAAGGAGCAGTATCTATTTGAAATCTGTAATAGTACTTGTTTGCAGGGCTGGACTGGGAAAAAAATCTGCAGTCTAAGTGGTCCTAATGGTGATTTAAAATTTAAAAATCTTGCAAACTACTTAAAATCGCCTACAATACATACTGCATACATTGTTTTGAAAGGCTATTCTCAAATCTATGCTTTTTTGTGGCCATGTCTTATATGTAAACCAGTGGGTTGGAGGGGTGAGTTACTCAATCCAAGGAATCTCACCAGGATGCACTAGACATAACTATCACAATTTCAAAACAAACCTAGACAATCAGATTGCAGTTTGTTTTCTACATTATAATATAGTGCAGGGGTCAGCAACCCATGGCACTGACCTATCAAGAGTTCCAGTGGGATGTCAGATGTCTGCTAGTAGAACCCAAGTTGTGATTGCAGGTGGCGAGGGGCTTCCTTCTAGCACTTCTAAACAGAAATCCCCACTGTAGTAGAGCAGCCCACAGAAGCTATGGCAGCTCCTGTCCTTGACCTGTACCTGACCAGCCTGGTCCCCCATGGACCACAGGGGGTGCACCCACACTGCTAGATATACACAGAGCTGCAGAATAAGCTATCCCATCATACTAATAATACAGCCCACACACAAACACATTCACAGTTCTCACAAACACAACACCACTAACAATCCACATACATGCACACAACCCCACAAACAGCCTCACGCATACACACCACCAAACACACAATTTGACACATCATCCAGACACACAATTCCACAAGCAGCTACCATACACAGCCCACATTCATAGGTCTCATACACAATGCCACAAACGACTCATGAACATATACAATATAACAGCCCACATACGCACAAAGACAATATTACAAAGCAACTGCAGCACTCATAACGAACACAACCACAATAAGGCAACATACACACCTCAATTTAAAACAAAAAATAGGACTGACACACCAAGGGACTTTAATATCTTGTTTTGGCGCAGTACTACTAAAAGGTTGCCTACCCCTGGTATAGGGTATCACACAGGAAGAGCTGTTGAGTTCACCATAAGTTGTTGGACACCTGTCCGTCTGCTTGCTCTAGGATGCTACATAAAACATGCTGCCCTACAGTATGTAGAATGCATACATTATTTAAATAAAATAATTAGTTGCAGATGATTCATAAAGCACATGGCTTGATTGATCAGTCGATTTCCCCTCCCGCAGCATGTGAATTCTATATACTGCCAACACGTATGTGTAAAAAAAGTGAAAAAGTGATGTCCACGACAGCCTAGTGATCTTGACGATCCGACATGCAGTATTGTGTATATAGAGTTGCAAAATAACTGTTTTATGATAGTAATTGCCTTATAATGTTGGCTTATGCACCAAAATGCCAAATGCATTTTACTACCAGATGTAGGCAGCATTCACAGATGACAGGAGTGAAATTGATCATCACAGTATAAAATCCAAAGAAAGAATTGGGATTTTTAAACAGTTTTTACTTCTATAGCTACATACTTATTGGGAACACTTTTCATGCAATATGAGGTTTTGACATCCCTAATTATTGAAGTGGCAGTTGACTGTTAATATTAGAGAAACACAGGAGCATCAAGTATCTCTGGGAACATTTAAAAGAAGAAAAAAAGCTGATACATTGTAAATTAAATTAAACGGTTCTTGAACGATCTAGAAGATATTTAGCTGAATAAGACAAGCGCTCTCGTTAATATTCACGTCTCAGCTGTCTAGACGACAAAAAACACTCCCATTAATTGTAAGACTAAACAAGCTCTAAGACTTATTCTCTGATGGAAAATTATACCAGGGTTGAAACATACAGTAATGCAAGGCAAACATTTTTCTCTATAGATTGTTTGCAATTCCTTTTCTTTTGCATTGATCTCATTTTACAGTATGATTAAATTTGTATGGGAAAGAACCAATTAGTTTTGTTTTACACATATTGAATGCGCTTTATGGTCAGGCAAATTAACTCTCAGCAGTTAGCGTGATTTATAAACCAACATAAGGGTTTATTGGTTTGTGTTTTTAAACAATGGTTTTAGAAGTGATGGCTAATCCACTTGATGTAGATGGTTTGCAGGTGCTGTCAAAACAATAGGAGTTGCATATAGCAAACACGATGTGAAAAGGTATGTTCTCTTTAAGAGCACCACTTACCTCTGTAAACCATGCAATGGCATTTTGAAGCATGTTAGGAGGACTGGCAGAGGACCTGCTAGGTTTTAAAATCAACTGGGGCTTTAGCCCAAAGCAAAATGTGGCACCTATCCTTCAAGACTGCATCCAGTGTCAATTCACCTTTTATCCCCTGCAGTCTTATAAATCACCCTTAATAATGTCTCTTTATTCTTATATGTCCCCATACACACTTTTTGGGTCTCTTTCTTTTTAGCACTCAAACTCTCCTAACACCCTGGTGTCTTCCGCCCCATGTCCATAATAAAACATTGTTTATCTCTCCCAATCTTCCCTTATCCCTATGACTTATTATTCTTATATTATGGCTAGTAGGATTTTGCTGACACCCTGCTGTACTGCTTTGAATAGCAGTTGCCAGAAATGAAAAGATAAAAGTTATAACATCCTGCCACCTGAACGGATCTAAGGCCGAAGAGCCACACATCTGGGGTTAGCTCCCAAAGTCAGCCCCTGGCAACAACTCTGAGCACTCACTCCCTAAATCTTTGTTTTTCATTCTATTTAGTCTTGGCAATAGAGCCAAAAAATCATATAATTATACTCACAGTTACTGTGCTAATAGACCCTCTAATGGGAGCATGATCAAACATACACACTTTTAATTTTTCTTTTATTTATTCATCTTCTACAGAAATATTGGGGCAATACACATTTCTAGAGATTATGTGTTACATTAGAATACAATATTTCAGACATGGTCTGAAATATTTGCGTCAAGTAACGTTTTATCTTATGCAGTGGGTGTTATATATAATAAATCATAAAAAAAACCAGTCAAAATACTCAATTAGTGCAAAATGTGTAAAACGTACTATAATGTACTGTATGAAATTATAACAATGTTAATGTACAGAAAGTACAGTTAAGCCAAGCATCTGTGCTACACTAAGCTTTCAAGGCTGCTTTAGGAGCCTGCAAATAAACTCTATAATGTACTC